TTTTGAGATTAAGGGTCAAGTCCTCAAGAGGTAAGGAAATTGCAGGGTTTTGTTAGATGATAGAGCATTTATTACCTTTAATGAGGTAATAAAATCTGTCCATCAGTTACTTACCAGTATGTACCTTCTTTCTTAGATCAAACTTGTATGATATCTTTCTGTGGTCATTCTGAAAAGGACTTGCACAAAAAGACAAAGTAGAGTAAGAACAGAAATACTGTAAAACTGGTGCTAGAGCAGTTGGTTGTCAACTTGTAAAGATAACTGCATCTGTCTTCTTTTCTTGCTGTGGCAGAGTGAGCTGTCACTAGTCAGAGCTGCTTCAGCAGGTCATTAGCTGCCTCATCTGAGCAATTTCAGTCAACTGCTGACACAAGTTTTCCTTTACTTTGTGAAATCCACGGGCAGAGGAGCAGGATGATAAATTATCTCTGCCCAAGTTCTGCTTTTACTTACAACTTGGATGGACTGTAGTTCAGCAAGGTTTCTGTTGAAAGCAATCTGAACATGTTTCTGGTTTCCTTTTCAGTTTGGGCCGCACATGCTGAAGTCCACAGGAAAAATGAAGACTTTAATTGAAAAATCCTAGTGAATTCAGATCACTACGCGAAAGACTGTTGAGCTCCTTTCTCCGAAATATTTTATGTTGCAATTAGCACTAGTACTGAGTGGTCTCTTTCTTACAGCACAGAAAGACTCAATGTGAAGTAGAAGTGAGGCACTAAACGTGGTTGTATGTGATTTGTCAAGGGGAATAAATTGGACCATTATACTCAGGTATTAATTTTGCAGTCAAGCCTGGCTTTCCACTCAGACTTACATGGTGGATTTAGTTTATTAACACTAAGTTATATATACAGCATTCTTTATGCATAACTGACCATCTTAAAAATCCGTGTACATGTTAATGATGATGGTGATACACCCTTAACTTAATATCAGTTATTTGAGCTCTACCTGTAACTTGCACTACAATGTGTAATTTGATATTGAAATTTTCATGTTGAAGCCTTTCTTTTAAATTTAACTTAAGCAAAATTTTAGCCCAAAGAAAACCTGGAGGCACTTTGCTTCTTAGTGAAACAAAGGAAAAAACTGAATCTGCTGCAGAGTCCAGATAAATTTTAAGTAGTAGCACATTTTTGTGCAGGGTTGTTTGTTTCAAGTGAGCTTGCAAGGCTAAGAGAGTAAAACCTGCTTACATCGTCCTGTGGCCGTTATAAAGAGTGCAGGACAAGGGAGTAAATCGTGCTGTGGGAGCCTCTGTGAACAGGTAGTCCAGTGAATATGAAATAGCCAGTAGATAGCAGCAGAGTAAAATAGTAAGAGAATATGTGTTAATTAGAGGAGAAACAGTGGAGGTAAGAAAATAAAGGTACAAAGTACTGTGGGGTGCAAGTACATTGTTCACCTCTGCTGCTCTAAGGGATGTTTGTGGACACCTTTCTCCCAAGCTGTTTTGGGTCCTTGGATAAATTTCTGGCAGCTGGGACCTGCACGCACGCTCATGGTCCTGTTTGCTGGGAAGACATGGGATAAGCCATTGCACATAACCTGCTTTCCAAGGAAAGCCCTTCTGAGGCTTCCCCACAGCAGTTATTTGCTGCCAGACCTGCACTAACCACCTAAGCTCATGGCTCCAGCCACAGATGTAGAAAAGGCTCAAGCTAAACATACAAAAAAGCTGTTCAGGAGCTCAGAGCTACAGCTTAGCTATGCTGTGAAATGAAGCCAAGCTTTGCTCTGACCATGGACGGGAGTAGAAAAAGCTGAGCCTGCTCGAAGTTGATCCTGGCTCCTGGGACAAGTACAGCTGCCTCTAGAAGCTTCTGTTTTCTAGGAAAAGGCAAAAGCAGCACTATTTAATAAAGAGAACTGAATGACGAGGTTACTGGAGATGAAGCTTTGCTGCTTATAACTGGAATGTAGGCTGTACAATGGAGGAGGGGGTTTTCTGGGGTGGAACTTGAAATGGTGTTAATATGTACACAACGTAACTTCCTTCCAAAATGCTCTGCCATCAGTCTTACTGACAGGCCATTCAATCCTTGAGTTCTTTTAAATGACTTAAAACCAATATTAACTTTCAAAAAGGTGTTTTAAACTTTTGTATTTTATGCTCCATTGCCACTATATAAAATTAAAAGCAGTTAAAATAAACATGGCATATTTGATTTGTGGTACTCTACAAATGATAGCAGCCACAGTAAAGTATAGTTTACATTCTGTTACAATGACTGTAAATCAATGTAGTGACAACCTACTTCCATCTCCTCCAGGACTGGTCTGCTTACCTTGCTGTGCACCAGGAGTGACAGAGTTAGTCTAGAAAAGCCCCACACTGTTAACTTAGTTACATTCAGATTAAACAACAAGAAAAAAAAAAAGGGTATGAGGAACCAGTGAGAAGTTTATGCCTCACCACAAACACAGCAGGAAGGTACTTGTTTAACCATCCCCTGGTACACTGGGTTCCCCTGGCAGTCCAATTAACATGTAAAATTCAGGATATCACGTGACCTATTAAACTAGGCTAGAGCATGAGAAAAGCCCACACCAGGCATTGCCTGCTTGAACTGAGGTATCCAGTGCCCAGAAATGGGGTGAGCCTTATCACTGATGTAAAATTACTGTAAAAGAAATGCCATCTGCACAAGAGAATAAAACCACAAAGCTGACATCAAATAACTTTACTTTATACTGTACCCTAATTTGTATCTTTCTACTTGAAATCTTTTACATGGACAATGCCACTGCCCACAGTAAAAGTGCTCAAACTAAGGCCATCCGCTCATGTTGGGCAGAGGCCGTAGACATAACGTGAAGCCTCTTTGTATCTGTCTGTGAACAGTGCTGGGAGCAGATCTGTGAATTAAGACAGTCTGTGGTGGGGACCTGGCCCCCATCCCCTCGCACATTTCTGGGCTCCCGTGGGCTGTGAGTGGCCGTGGTGCTTTAGGGACCCTGCTCCTGACACACTCAGCTCTCACATGAAATGTTCAAGCTGCAGGAATGTTGAAGTTCAATGTAGATTTGTAGAAAGCATTTCTAGACAAGTCAAAAAAAAGGCTATTTTTTTTTTTTTTGCTTTTTTAATTCAGTCTAATGTCAGAACCTTCCATGTACACTAAGAGGTGGGATTAGAACCAGTCTTTTTAAATCCAGTCTGGTAGGAAAAGACAGAAGCCCCTTTCCAGGAAAGGTGGCTTAGAACAAAACTACTCATGTTTCACTCTAAGCACCTTGACAAACTGTACTGGTTCCTGTCAGAGCAGAGGACAGCAAGATGGCACAATGTGAAAGAATCACAGGCTCTTTATAAATACTGTATGTTGAAATACTGCTATATACCTATTTGTAAATCCATTAAGCTTAATTTGCATTAGATATTAAAATGCGCTTATAAACAGCCTGCAATGAGTACTAAAAATTAATGAGTACTAAAATTTAAAATGCAGTTGAGACTCTTTAAACCAAGTCACATGCATCACAGAAGACATCATCAGGTAATGATTTCAGTGGTCATTTTGAAAATAGCTGCAGTCTTGGCACGTTTTTATTCAAAACAGTGCAAGAGGAATCAGTACTTTCCCACATTTAACCCTACAAACCTGCCCAGGCTGTAGGGAAGCTTAGCTGCAGCTTCTCTGTAGTAAGTTACTCACACACAGTCCTTACCTCTGTGTTCTCACAGCTTCAAACACCACTGGAAAGTGCTGCCCTTTCAAAGACAATCTGTTAAAAAGTGCTTTTCTGTTCCTTCAAGTTACAACCAAAGCTCATTGTCCCATCTGATCCTTCTCTGCTGGAGTCAGACAACAGCAAGAACTTGCACTGACAGCGAAGGAAGGAAGTGCACGCAGGTTCAACAGAATGGTTTCACTAGAAATTTATTTCTTTAAACATGGCCACTTTGAGATTAATGATACTACTTCAGGGAACATGAAAGAATAAACAATTTTAGAAGGGAAACAATCAGGTAAGTCAGGATTTGCTTTTCAAACAGTAAAAGGCCAAGCTTCAAGAGGCAATAAATTTTGGCAAATGAGGACTAGTATTTTCAAATCCAAAAGTTGGCTTAGTTTTACAGTGGAAGCTGACTGCAACCTTAGGTACCTTTCCACAACGCTGGACTCAGTCGTAACTTAAATGTACAGGAGCATAATGTGAAAAGATTTTGTTTTATTAATTAAAAGTTAACAGCAACAGGCACATATTAAAATGAATATGGCAAAGCCTTTACAAATGGCTTTACGCTGAAGCTCTCTCCCAAAAATGGCTGTTGCAACAAACTGTAAACAGAATTAATAAACAGTCTTTTACAATAATAACAGGGAAATACAAATGAACTAAAAGAAAGCACCAGTTTCTCAAACTAGATTACAGTTGTGCTTACTGTACTTAAAACAATGTAAAACAAATTACAAAAATGGAATGTTTTAAGTTTAAAATTAGTCCTTTAATTTTGTCCTAAAAAACATTTTCTCCTTTTCCCATCAAAAACCCATCAGTGGGTAATGTTTCAGTAGAGGGAGGAATACGTAAACAATGCACTTTTTTTTATTATTTTTTTTCAAATCAAAAACAAATTTGGTCACTTAGCTTTGTGCATAGTTTAAGGCATCTGTAGCAATTTGTTACAGTTTCCTCCCCAGTGTGGCTGTTCATGAAATTGTCACATTCTAAAAGAATAAATTAAAAAAAATAAAAGAAAACAATGTTGCCGTTCAAACCCTTCCCCGAGCCCTCCCGCCCTCCCCGTCCCAAACGTACTCACACACCCACACATACACACACGCTGCAGCGAAAGGGGCATTTGTACCCTTGTTCTGAAGGACACGCTTCCCATCCCACTTTATTTCAGATTGGCAAATACCCTGAGCTGATTATGGTGTTTAGACATTCCACCTTTTTCTTGCATGTGCAGTTCAAGTGTACAATAGTGAGAACAACATGCGATGTTCCCACTGCAGAATCGCAATGCAGTTCAGACGCTTCCCCCCACCCCCACCCCGCCCTTCCCAGATTCAGAAGTGTTTTGTTGCTGTTAAAAAATTGCATTCCCATATAGCACTGGAGTAAAGCTTGGCTGTGCTCTATGATGAATGCTCAGCTCCCAGTGCACAAACAAAATTATGGCAAATGGGAGGCTTTTCTGGCATCCAAAGAAAAGAGAGCTGCAGTCTCAGATTTGATCTTTTTCTTTTAAAAAAGCAAAAAACTGAAGTTAGTGGTTCCTTCACAGCCATGCGCAAAGGTTTAGTCTAGAACCGACAGTTTCAGAGTACATTTGTAAACATCAAGTCTTGCCAGAGGCAGCAGAGGATGGGCACTTCACATTTCCGTATTAAAACAGGGACTGAGTGGAAGGTATGCTTTGAACACATTTATGCAAGTCTTGCTAAATTCCAAGGGAGTGGAACAATCCGTCTCAAGTTTTAGATTTGAAGACCGTATTCCAAATTTCACCAAAAAACCCAAGCCATGTGTGGCACAATGAAGCTTTCGTCCTGTTGCTCCAAGGCTCAGTCACTGCTGTGCTTTGCATATTCAAGGTTCCGAACGAAAACCAGCTGAGGTGGGTGCATATTGCTCTATGTTCAAATCTTGCGGCTTAAAAAAATTCTGGTTCAAATGGTCTGTGTCAAAGGAAAACTTGGAAATAAATAATGCTGGCATCATTTTACCATTTCACTAAAACCTTGGGCTGGCACGTATCTCCTTTAATCCAACCGTGCAGATACCAATAGAAGAGGCAGTTTTGTCATGAGGACTGAGGTCAGGACAATCGAGGTTCCTGAGGTAATATGTCTGAGTCCATTTCCTCAAAAGTAGGGTCAACATCGTCACCACTGCCAGACTGTTCCCTCTGCACTCCCTTCCAGCTTGCCTTGTTCAGTCCCAGGTGGCCAAGCATTGTCTGTGACAGCCTGGTGTTGGAAAACCGGGCCCATTCCCCAAACAGAGGTTCCACTAAGTAGGTCATAAAACCTTCAAAAACAAGCAAACAGAGACAAATGAAAACCAGAAAACAAACCCAGAGAAAAATTAAAATCCTCAACCTAAATATTTTAAATAGAATTTAATAGCAAAATTTAAATCTGTCAAACTACTGTTCTCCAATGTGCATTTAAAAATCCATTTCAATATTTAGGGCATCTGTACAAAATAATCTCTCAAAATATAAAAGATTTTACTAATCAGTCAGAACAGCAGCAGTACACTGGATTACAAATTAACTCTCTTTCTTTCACATCAATGACCAAATAAAGGAAAATATTGAGGAACATGGGGGAATTTTATAATGAATTACCTCACAGACAGTCTGAACTATACTACACAGGGGGGAAAAAAGAATATATTACTTTCACAATATTACGCCAGCTAAAAGTATTTTAAAATATAAATTCTAGAAATTTTTTAAACAAGGCCACAAAACATTAACACACATTTATATACTTGTTTGTGTGTTTATATACAACTTTGTGCATAGGCACATGTTCTCTTATGTGCACTGTCTACTTCCATGAACCAAAAACTCAAGGGTAAGATGACCAAAACTGAATCTGTCAATTATGGAAATGTATGTTTTCCTAACATTCTAAATTAAACCAGTGCATCTTATTGAACACATCAGCTTTTGTGTCAATTTAAAGCATAATTAATACTGTGTTTGTGGTCAAATTTATTCTTTTCTTTACTGTGCTTTTAACTGAGTCCCATTCAACCTACTTTTATTAAAATAAGAGGACATTTTACTGTTTTAAATTGAATTTAGCAAAAACTATTAATATAATGGCTATTCACCATTCTCCATCAAATCTCTGTCCACCACCCTCTTTAAAGGTTGCATTTAAAGGAAATGCTGACATTCCAGAAAGCTAAACCCAGCGAGCTAGAGCCCTATTGTGGCAATCTCACTGCAAAAGGCACCCGAGACCACACAGCAAGGGGAAGGAACCCTCCTCTTCCCAAAATAGCCACTTCAGACCAGGAAAGTTCTGGGCAGCAGCAGTTCAGGGAGAAGTCAGACAGCTGCCTCCCATGCTGTACCTGTTCTGTAAGGGAACAGAGGGGCTCAGGTCTCCAAGACTGTCAGTGCAGTACCTCTTGTAAACAGTTCAAGCCAGAAGTCTTATACAGCAAATTGAAATAAAAGTGCTCTTTGTTATGAAGTGCTGCCACACACACACAGAGCAGGTACAGCCTCTAGCAAATGTACCCAAAAGGTCCTTTGTTCAAATTGCATCCTAAAGAAATCTACTGAAAAAAACTGAACTGTAGTTACCAATCTGGATGTTGGCAATAGTTTCTGTCTGTCGGTCACAAAGTGGACTCACACCCAAGTGATATTTTTTTTCAATATCACCTAAAGAAACAAAAGTATAATACAACCGTTAAGTCATATGGTCCAGACTCAAATCAAACACCAAAAGAAGTGAGCTCTGCCAGGATGGTGTCTTGCAGATGGTAGAATGCATTTACTTCTCTCCCCATCTCCAAAAAAATCCAAGTAGATCTGTCAGTGAGACTAACAGTATTTATAAATACTGTATTTAAATACTATTTTTCATCAAACACTAATTAAAAAACATAGAACCACTAGTTTACTGAAGGATTAACATCCTCTTCCTCACAAAGCTTCCTAGACTGTCACAGAAATGACAAATTAAAATCCCTCCTTAGTAATATAGAAGAGAATAGCTCAGCGTTCAGAAATTTCTGGCCAAAGACAATTTGTGGTTCTGCCTCCCCATCACCTTTACCAAAGATTAAGCCTCATGTGGATAACAGCAAATAAAGCAGTCTGTTCCCCATTTATCATATCCATGTGCAAATTAGCAGGTCTCAAGTCAGCTCAACTAGCCTTAGTTTTATTATTAAAATTTAATAATAATGGAGGAAATTCACTCCATTTGTTAATTACAAGCTTTATTAACTGCTTATATAAGTAGTCGTAACTGCATGGTAACTAAAAACCTCCTTGGCTCTCACCTGCTTACCAACAGGCCTCACAGCTCAAGTTTAAATACTGAAGACACATGATGAACATATTTCATAATTTACTGAAGCCACTAGGTAAATTTAAAGCAGCCATAATTCCTTATCTGAAGCACCTTTCAGGTTGCACCAGCCATTCTAGGTTCAGTTTCTAAGCAGATTCTTCAATGAGCTTTAGTAATTCCGACCTTTTGCAAGAAGTACGACCCATGAAAGGAAAAAAATCCCATACTGCACTGTACATCTCCGTTAGTCCTAAATATAAATGGACTAGGACTCATGATGCTCTTTCCACGCTATAAATACATGGTATACTAACAGATAATTCTACTCTTACCTTGATGGAAGAACTCCTCTGTTACTTTCTCACTCCACTGCTTGCTCAGCTCCCACGTCCGACAGGGGTTACAAATATCCGCACACTTCAAAGCCATCTAACAAGTTAACACACAGTGTTAGACCATCTTTCCCTTCAACAGAAGCACCTGTAATTATTTGTTTCCTTACAGCAGATTATTTTAACTTTTCTGAATAACAAACCTACCTAAGATCTGCGCTCCAAACTTAGCTTCCAAAATATTTAAAAAACACTCAGGGAACTATCAGATCTCATGATCATCCCTGAGTAATATGGAAATTCAGGCAAGTCAAAGTATTTCAGGGGCACTATATTTAGTATATTCGCTGGTACAGGAGCAAAAAAAAAATTCAGAAAAAAGAAACATCAAAGTAAGCAAACAGTATTTTCCATTTCTGGCTCTGAAGCTCATATTTTTAGCAATGGTTTGCACAAGACAGAACTCCTCATCTGTTTGTTTAAGTTTTTTTATAGTCCACAATATGAACCTAATAAGAAAATGTCTACAAATCTAAAAATAATTTCAAGGGTTTTGTTTTTAAAGTTTGTTAAAGCTCACTAGCACAGCTGCAAACTGATTCACAACAGTAGTGCTTTCCTTTCCCAAAAAATGTTCTGACAAAGCATTTCAAATTCTGAGGTTGCTATGGAGTTGTTAGAAAAGCTAAACCCTCTCTTGGAAAAACACCTCTCCTTGCTTTAGTAGCTTTAAGTTATGAGACTTACCAACACTCACCATCACTTGGGAGAAGTGCTGGGGAAGGGAATTGAATGACTAGAAGATAGTTCTGCTTTTGAAAGGAGGAGAAAGCCTGGCAGAAGTAGTATTTAGCATTTTTAAGTAAATTGTTTTTACTCTAAAATGATGTTTTCAAAAATATTCCCAAAAAGATCACCTGTAAAATGAAGTGCCGATGGTTTGCATTCTCCAAACATAGGTCTCCTCTATCCAAATGGGATCGAAACATGGACAGATACTCGTTTTGCTGACTGATGTCTGTGGCAAGAATGAGATCGCCTATCTGGCTTTCCATCAGCTGCCTGAAATTAGTGATACCAAACATTCAAAGCATAACAATTAAGAACAACATTCATCACAAGATTGAGATGTCTTTTTATCATATTTATTATACAAATACAAGCTTTATAATCAGCATTTTCACTGAACTATTTTGTTTGTTTGTTTGTTTTCTTTTGCTGAAAAAGTCTTACAACATCCACAGAAACACCAGGACACTTCACTGGTGGCTTTCAAGAAGATTTCAAAACAGCTTTTACCTTCTTTTCTCCCCACCCCTCCCTTTTTTTTGTTCTTAAAAATGCACAAACTAATTGTTTCAGGATTGTTTCTTGTTAGAGTAGGTGAAGAGGGTCTATTTTAAACTACAGTTGTGGTGGCAGAACAAGAAAAGGCTGCCAAGTTTAATCTGAACAGGTGCTTGTCTACATGAATACACTTCTTCAATGTGCTCACAGTAAATGTTATTTTCCGGATATCACGTTGCACCACGAACTGCTCTACTCCACCAGCAGAGTATCCAGGAATTCTTAAAATAGATCATCATCTACATTTTGTATTCAAAACTGCCATGCAATAATTCATCTTGTTTTGCAAGGCTGTCTTACTTAAGTGACAGCTTGCTTACGTCTTAAAGTAATGTATACTCTTTGGTATAAACATACCTGTTTTCTAATGACATATGTGCAAATAAACCAGACTCTCTCAGCAACCCCACTGCCGATCTCCAGTGATGGTTCTCTAATACTGAGGTATTCTGCGAATTAAAAGGGAATAACACCTATCAGTCAATGCCTTTTTCTTAAACTGAGAGCTGCATACCAAGAGCAGACCAGAAAGTTTTGCTGTGTTTTGGAGTTGGTGTTTTTATTTCTTCCTTCTTTTTTTTTTTCCCCAAAGAGGTTAAAACTCACAAACCTCAAATATGCTGTTAATTTGCACATTTTTTTATCACAGTGGCATGGAAACAATGTCTGGATTCAAACCTACCACTAGCTAAACACATCACAATTTATACTCTTTTTTCTGTACTACTCAAGCATTCTCCAAACCAGGCTTTAACAAAACAACTGATTCTGTTCTTACCTTATATAAAGTCGCTAAATAATGGTTTGTTTTAATTAGGAAAGGTTGGTTAACGCCTGGGTGATCCAAGTCATGTGTGGCAGCTGCTATTAAACTGAGCAGAACATCCCACGGAGTTAAAGATTTGGAAAGCTGCAAGGCAAAACCAATAAATGTTAGTAATGCAAGTATACCCCTAGAGAAAGTGCACGAGTGTTGCATTTTTGGTTTTTAGTAATTAACAGCCAACAGAAATTCAGAGAAAATTTTGAAGATGTAAAACTAATATTCCACTGACTTTGCACAGTATTGCACAGTGGGACTTAGCACAGTCCCACTCAAAGCTACAAAATTTCAACAATGGTTTAAGCATTATTCTTTCTGAATGAGAAGGTTCAGTCTTGAAATTAACACTGGCACACAAAATCCTACTTTCTGTCTGGTAATGAAGTACTATTCCTAATCAGATCCCATAAAAGCAGCAAATTCTTAAAATTAGCTCTCCCTGTCATTTACCGAGTCCATCTGTATGTGTCAATTCTGCTTTAAATACATACTATATTTTAGAAAGCATAAAAAACCCTTCCTCTTAAAGGGAAGAAATCAATGCTCTGGAAGACTTTAGAACTGTTCAGAATGGATTTCTACTCTTATGCGAAATTACATTTAAAAGTCTAGTGGGGCCAGAAACAAAGGAGGAAATTCTGTCACAAATAAATATTTCCAAGAAGTATGTGTATGTCAATTAACTCAGCATTCACCTGCACAGACTTACTTTCACTGCTCATAGCTGTTACTACTTACGATTGGGAGGTTTGTGAGTTAGACTTAGTCAGAAAGTCTAGCTTACACTAAAACAGAGAGGATAATTCTGCCCATACAAAGGTAAAATGCAGCAAACACCCTGCGTGGACAGAAGTTTGTATTCCCTGTTGCATTTGCCATCTATCATGCCTCACAGGTTTACAAAGCACTCTGGTGCAACAGAATCTGTAGCTGTATATGTTACTAAAAATACAAAGTCTATACTTGTATCTAAAGCATCACAAAACTTCCATCATGAGTATTAAATAAAAAATGCTCAGAGCTTCCAAACTGCATGCCATAAAAAAGCTCATCATGTATCAGCTCTGATTTGGCTCACTGCTCTCACTGCATCTGAGAGCAGCACTGAGAAACTGAGTGGGAGGAGTGGGCAAAGAGCCCCTGAAAAACATCGAGGGAGCCAGAACTTACTTGGTTTTACTTCAGAAGCAGAATAAGGAGCTATGCTATTCAAGAGAATACCAGACCGGTGATAATCTGCATCAAGGTAGATAACGTGCCTCACCTGGCCATAAAGCACTGCAGTTTTCAATTTAATACAGAAGAATAGGATTTAGTCCTAAAATTGTCCAATCACTCAGAGCAGCCTGACAGCAGTCCAAGCAGGGAGGAACAAACACTCAACCAGCTCAGCTCCTTAATGTCTGTAACTCTGCCATTTCTTAAAAAGAAAGGCCAAAGAGAAGTCCTAATGTAATGTTACCAACTGCCTCTAGCAGAAGCATCCTATTCAGTGACATCAAAGATGAGCAAAGCAAGGGTAACAGTAGTTTCTGGGGGAAAAACCCCACCCCAAATGATAAATACACAAGTTTATTATTGCCAGCTCTGACTCAGGCTACAATTCTATGCAAATGTCTTGGGGAACAGCACTATGTTAAACAGCTCCAACCTCAATTCCCTACTCTGGTCCAATGTGAAATCACACAAAAAAGTGTCAGCTCAGAAGAGGGGAAAAAAGAAAAGCACATTGCTAAGTGTGAACCCACAACCTCAGCAACAGAGAGAGCAATAGAGAGTTCAAAACTGTGTCTTGTTGGGTTCTTAGGTTTCTTTACTTTTAACAAAAAGTATATATACATATACACATACGTATGCATGTACGTATACATATATATAGATACATGAGCTTATCACTCTCTACAGCTACCTGTAAGGATGTCGTAGCCAAGCAAGGGTCAGCCTCTGCCAGGCAACTAGTGATAGGATGAGAGGACACAGCTTCAAGCTGCATCAGAGGAGGTTCAGGTTGGACATGAGGACACTGGACAATTTCTTCACAGAAAGAGTTTTTAAGCATTGGAATGGGCTGCCCAGGAAGGTGGTGGAGCCACCGTCCCTGGAGGTGTTCAAGAGAAGACTGGCTGTGGCACCTTGTGCCATGGTCTAGTTGACATGGTGCTGTTGGGTCATAGGTTGGACTCAATCTCAGAGGCCTTTTCCAACCTAAATGATTCTGTGATATGCACACACAATACACTCATATGCACACACACAAATGCACATATTTCTGTACATACACATGATATGAAAGTGAGAACACTCCCTTACCTTGGGCTCTTTTAAGTAACAGTGCATGGCCTGAGTCACATCAGCAGCATGAACTGCATTATGATAAGGGTTTTGACTGTGATAATCTTCTTGAACCATAACTGCAGGAAAATAACATATATCCAAATTTAAATAAAATAACAGTTTTTTAAAGTAATATTTTATATTCCATTACTAGGCACAGAAATAAGCAATATCCCAAATCACATTCACATGAAAACATCACAGTCAGTAAATCATCAGCTGAACCACAACACAGGTATACCATTTCTATGTGAAGAAATAGTATTTTCTAAAGGAAATCAACCACATGTGAAGTCATCTCAGAGCAAAATTAAACAACTTGAAATCAGTAAATAATCTGAGAGACTCTGAGACCTTCCCAGAGAAGACTCCCTTTGATAATCTAGACTGTCCAAACCATGAGGCAATCCTGAATACAAAATGATGATGCTGTTTACCAAAGCATCAGGAGGATCCCATATCAGGCCTTGAAAACAGACAGAATCAGAGGAATTAGGCACTGCATTTCTGTCATATGAAGTGCTTTTCTTTCCCATTCAGGAAAGTGGTCATGGAAAGCCACCTCTATGCTTTTATAGGCATCTTATACCTCACTCAGGACAATTTAAGCCTACATGCAAATTAGAAAAGAATCTCCTTTAGATGATGGTCTGACTAACTACTCCTAGATTCAATATTCCCTATTTAACTTCTTCCTTGCTTTTCTCCTCTCTCATTCATTTTCCTCGATGTCTTCGAACAGTATAGGTAGAATTCTTTAAAGGGCATCAACATTAGGTCAAGTACATGGAATGAAAGAACTATAATGTTAAAAAGGATGGAGGGGAAAAAGATCTGAAATACAACAATCAAACTGCATTCTAAGGTTTGGCCTGATACAACACATTAGTTCTTTCAAGCAAACCTAGAAGAATATTTTCCTGGCTGACTACAATCAGTCAGTCCCATCAAACAAACATGCCTACAACCTCTTTTTCTACTCAGTTGCCAAGCCAAAACGGTCCATGTAATTGTGATTGCAATGTTACAGCATTACTGACGTGGTATTTGTGAAGAGCTGTGGTTCATGAAAAGTCAAAATACTGTAACCATCACATAACCTCTAAACTACTCAATGCATACCTGACAGCTCATATAAAGATGATGAAAATAAATGTCTTTGAGCTCTATCAACCTGCAGTAGAACTCTCTCCCACCTGTTCCTCACATCAAGTGCACGAATGCAGATGTCCTTAATTTTTTTGTGGCTTTACAAGCTACCTGAAGTTTACAATTTTTCTAACTTATTTAATAAAGCAGACCTAGGTCAAAATTTTGATCATGGTTTGTCTGAACTAGAATAGCACAATCACTCTATGTTTTCAGGAATAGAGTAGATCATATTTTCTCTCCCCCTGTTCAGGTTTGGAATAAGAACTTGAAAACAACAGTAGGAGGATGTAGATCTCCAAGTAACCTTTGGTAATCACTGAAAGACTATGTATGTGTATAAACATATATATGTATATATATACAAAAATAAAATGTTGAGATCTTACTGAGATGAGAACTAAAACCAGTTTTTTCTACTTAAAAAGATTCCAGTAAATTCCCAAATAAAGTGAATTTTATATGGTACTATGGACCACTTGTGCTGTCCTAGTCTTCCAGAATCTGATCTTCAGATTGCTGTGGACTGGAGTACAACAGGGAGCAAAAGAAAAGAATGAACTGTGTTCATGCTGAAAGCTGCATTTGGAAGAAAAGTTCCTTGATTTGACAGATGTACTAGGACAGACATAAGAAATGTTCTTCTCAGTGACATTAAGTAGAAGGCATTAACAAAAGGGAAAGGTGGTGACTTTCAAAATTAGAATAAAATTTTGCCTTCTTCCAAGTCTAATCTCATTTTAGTGACTTATGACTTTGAGTAACCATATGTAGTTAAAACTATTAGTTATCTTTTGATAACCAGCTAACTAATTCCTAACGAGTCTTTCATTTCAAGTACTATGATTTGCTAAATCTCAACTAACCAGAAGATAAGCAAGATGAGAAAGACAAACCACACTCAGTTACAACTCAAGCAGTCTAAGACTGGATTTCTATAATAATTTTCTTCACATTTCAATATATCAGTCATTAAGGTTGGCCAATTTACACTTCTGAAACTGGAAGGAATTGAGTCCACTTTGAAGCAACGTGAAATGCAAGACAGAACTAATCTTTTTTTTTTTTTAAGCTGAAAGAGAACTAAATTATGAAAACAAAAACATTCCCTTATTTGAAAGGGGAGAAAAGCCTTCCAAATGTGATTTCTCCTCTGTTAAATGACAAACTTTGTAACCACAGAATCGTTTTCTCTGGAACTGTGAAAGCCTGCTAAAACAGACCAGAAACTTGTTTCTCCTGTTCAGTTAAAAAAATCATTCCCACTTCACAAAATTAAAGGTACTGACTGTCACAGAAAAACCAATGGAAAGATGTTGTACACCAGTGCCTGTCTATGGCATTGGGATGCAGAAAGACAGCTCATTCAGCTGTTGAGTGAATGTACTTCTTGGTTTGAATATTCCACGTTGTATTTACAGTTCTTTCCATCAAAGTATTTCAGTGCTGCAGGCCCAAATGTTCAAGTAAAATTGTCCTGCACTCTGCTTAGGGAAAAACTATGCCCACAGTACAGTGCTTACTTGTAGAAGAGTTTGAGCAAGCCATAAAACTGGCACCAGCAAATCCAGCCAAGCTTACATATTCCATACAGTTAGGAAACTATATCACTGGGAAGCAAAGATCAATGCAGAACTGAATATTAAAAGAAAGGAGCTGTCTGCCCCTTCTCAATACAAATGTCACACAATGTCACATATATTTCTGATTATTTAGATTTAATAAATGGAATACAACATCAGCTATGAAACTACTACACTTGTTAATACTTGTTTGGATTTAACACAGAAAGTTCTGTACTCATAGAAACTTTGAGAGATCGTCTCAATCAATATAATTTAAATCACTGCACGATCTGGACTGCATTAATACTCTTCAAACCTTACTGCTAAACTACAACCAGCACTTCAGTTAAGGTATAAAAAAGCAGCAATATTCATCATAATAAAAAACTGTATTTACCCAAAAATCTACGAAGTTTCATCGTATCTAATTGGAAGTGTTCAATTAGTCCATGAAGATTAAACAGATGAAAGGTTAAGCTGACTAGACTGTTTCCTAAAAATAAGATGAAAATACTAATTCATTGGAAGCCATGAAATCAGCGACTCTTTCATAAGAAATGTATTATTTCAAACAAATTGGTCACAAAAATTATACAAGCAAATTTTTCTACACCAATTTATGATAAGTTTTTAAATCTTACTGCATGACAAGATTCCATTAGCTGTTTCTAGTAATAACCAGGGGTTTTGATTAATGATAATAAATTCACCAACTCTCCACTGTCAACTGATAGGAGGAAAATGTTACTGAACACTAAAAAATCAACAGGTTTCAACATGCAAACCCATTACAATGGCATTCAACCTTATAAGTAACTTTATGCAACATATCACAAACAGACAGCTGAAAGCCAAATACAAAAATGGTCAGGCAAAGAGAAAAGTCAACACCATTGATTAGCTCACACTGTAAATATGCTCTCATTTTTGTCATGTATTTTGCTGAACTTTTCCTTATTTTACCCAGAACTCTACGAAACGCAGGAAACGCATACTATTACAAGCTTACAATATCCTTCGCCTACTCACAGCTACATTATAATCGTTTGCAATGGTAAAATAGGTAAAACTGCAAGAGACAGAGAATAGCCCAAAATGTTTATTTGAAATAGCTTGCCCATTATTTTTGCTCTGCAAACAATGTCATGGCTGACAATCTTCATTTAGCATTAAAGAACCTAGCATAGACAGAAATTGAGGTACAAAAGGACAAAAATTTCTGCTAAACCTTGCTTATTACTGGGCTTAATGTATTCCCATGTGCATGCCACTTCCTCACAATGAATTATGCAATTCTTGGAACATCTACTGGGTAATTTGTTTCTTAGAGGTTCATTCAGGGCAGCTCATCCAGTAGTTTTATATACAGCATTCTCCCTTAAAAACTTTCAAGAACAAGACTGCCTGATCAAAATGTCCTCCTAAAATTACTTAATTAGGATGCAAAACTTTAAACACTCTAATTGCAATTGTGCTACCTACTCCATATGATGTAAGACCTGCAAGAGCTGCCCTTCATTCTCTTCCCACACTGTCACAAACGTCGCTGTGGCGCTGGACTTGCTTATCTCCTCCTTCCATTTTATTCAAAATCCAGCTTCCATCACTGTGATTATGACATAAATATTCACCCTACCCACTGCAGAAGCTCTCCCGCCTCCTTTTCAGCACTTTTACAGATCTCTTTTCTGTCTGTCCATAAATTAAACAATACTTTGGCAGTTTTTTAACCAAATACTTCTGTAGCTCCTACTGCTACTTGTGATGGGCGCACAAAACTAACCATGATGCTCTCTTCCTTTTTCTATTTTGTGTAAGCTGTGCATACAGCAGCTTCTCTCTCCTCAACTCCTAATTCTCCAGGTATTCTATTACATGTCCTAATTATAATGCATTCACACCAACGTGCCTTCTTATTGCACTATAAAGCAATAGAACTATCAAACTTTAAATTTATCAGAAAAATACTTGTTCAATATAAATGACCTTTTGGACACAAGCATATAAATTACTAGCAAACCCATAACTGAAAAAAAAAGTCTAAGACAGTAAAATGATTTGTTAATTTATATCAAATTACAACTACAAATTACTGAAAGAGAACAGAAAGTACAAAGTACATGAAGGGGCTCTTCTACAAATCAATGATTATTATCAGCACTGACAGCATCATTATTTTAATGGAGTGACCAGGCAAACTAGGACTTAGATTAAACACTATTAAACCAAAAAGTACTACCTGATGAAATTTGTGCTTTTTAGTGAATCATATACTGCAATACAAGTGCCACAGTTAAGTTATGCTAGGAGATAAAACACAAATGAAATAGCAAAAGTAAACTCACCATTTGTCAGTCTATCAAACAGAAAAATATCAAAATTCCAATTTCCAACCTTCTCCAGCATACACTGAAAGAAAACACAAAAGCTGTCATCTTTTAATCAGCGTATGTCTATCTTCCTGTAACCCGGAGGAGTATTTAAGATTTAAGAGACAGATCAAGTCTTAGGATTTCTACATACAAAAAAAAATAGTAGTAAAAAATAATTAAATTTGCCTGATAACTGAAAAACTTTAAAATACATCTTACAAATTAAAAACCTGAAAAAACCCGAGAAGTGCCTTGACAGAACTGGTTGGAGATTTTCCTTTCGTCCTTTAGTCAAGTTCTCAAAAGAAATAAGATACAATTTAAAACAATTAGGTTAAAACCAGAAATAATATGACAGAAAGACACTGCATTCAGACTTCAGTTTTTCAATGAACTAGAAAATAAATCTGTGGTCTTTGACCTCATTTTCTGTCTTTTCCCTGCTTATAGAAGAGAAATAGTATCTAGATGATTTACTAGATATATGAGCCATTTGCATTTGACCCATTATATGAGCCATAATGCATTTTAAATTCTTTACAAACCTAGCTTTTGACTTTCCACCTCACTGAACTAGCATGTCTTCTCAGCAGCTTCACATGAACTGTCCTTCCAGCAAAAGGGATCAGCAAGAACACCAAACATCACATGAGGCCTCACCAGAGTTCAGTAATCCCAATCTCTGCCTCCCCTACCTGTATGAGAAATACCTGTCCAGCACATTTTACGACAGACTCCTGCCTTCTCCTATTCTCATTAGATTGGTAGAGCTGTTTTATAATCCAATTATGCAAAAAGCATTTTAGCTTTTCTCTACTAGCCATTAAAACTCTGCTACCTGAGAAAACAAGAGCATTAACAAGTTCTCTTCACTATTAAATTACATGTACATTTTTAAGATCCATCCTCCAGGTTATCAGATTTTTTTCTACACCACAGCCTGGTCATGTTCAGCTAGGATATGTCCATTGTGTAAGTATATTCCTTTTTTGTGTCAATATGACAAATAAAAAAGCACTAAATGCAGTGACACACAGCCTTTGGGATCTTGAATAACCTGAATCATCTTTGCCTGTTCAGTCTCCTTCAGCACTATCCATCCTTTGTCCCCAACACACTAGTCTTTTATCCAGGTAGCTGCTCTCTTAACACTACCTCTCTTCCCAGTACCTGTTTTCCCTGCACATAGCTATCACAGTTTTCTTTTCTAGAAGAATTGCCTACCAAAGAAAAAGTCCGTTTGGCATAAACATGTCCTGAGAAAACAATCTACTGCATTTTACTGAGTTTGCAGTAGTAGGTAGTCACTCTTTCAGATGTTCTTTAGTCATGTTAGACTAAAAATCAAAGAAAACAGTTGTCCAAATTGCTCCACTACATTTCTTATATACGGATACATTTTCCTTTCTTCATTTTTTTAGAGTGCACCCTTCATTCACCAGTTACTAGGACAAAAAAAAAGAAAGAAAGAAAAAAAACCACTAGCCACAAAAATCATCCCAGTACACTAGTAGGCATTAAAGGAGTTTGTTGCAATCTATTAAGATATATCTATATTAACACACAAAAATACATACACATACGTATATAAAAAAACATGCTTAAAACTCGAATTTGTTGTACTTTCAACATGTGATATAGTTATATATACTAGCAAGCATTTTAAAAAACATACTTAAAAAAATAAAGATCAAGGAACCAACCTTTGCTTGTCCATTATAATCATCATCTAAAATGTTTGAAGAATTTGGAACAGTGATACCACGGAAAAAACGGGAAGATCTCAGGTATCGCTGGAAACTAAGCAACCTTCTCACATTTCTCGCAGACACAGAGACTTCGATCTCAGAATTTGCTACAAAAAACAAGAAAATAAACACTCTCGCTAAAAAACCTTTATCAAAAAGATGAGTGTTCAGGGAAGTCTGGTATAAAGCCAATGCTTTTTTTTGGTATCAAACATTTCAGCCACAAATACAGATATTTTTATTAATAATAAATACAGAGCCAGGGTTTAGAAAAAAGTGTTCCGTGTAAGCACCCTGTGAAGAAAAACGAATATTTAAGTCACAGCTGCAACATATCTTTTTAAGGAACTCTGTTACTGAAAGGACAGAAACATTATGGAAATTGTCTAAAAACACATAGCTACTGAAACAAATTATTTTTTGAAAACTGCTCTCATGTATCCGTTTCTCTAACAAATCACATAAAATACATACACCAGCAAGAGAATATCAGAAACTGCATGTTGATACAGGAGATACAAGTAGGCTTTGAGCATATACAAGTAACTTCTACACAGATTTTAAAGCTCAGAAAATCTCTTAGCTCTACTACTGGCAAAATTTTAAACACATTCAAGTACTTCTGGTGCTTTTGCAGATAGTTACGTTCTTCTGGCAAACAAGTACCACGTTTATTTTCACAGCATATGCAAATCCCTTTCCCGGTACAGTGAAAACACAACAGAAAATTATTTTAACCTGTTTTCAAATATTAATCCAAATGTTTTGCTTTATACTTACTAGGTTAACTGTTTATTCAAATGACTGATGCTAGCTTAGGTCCAATTCCACTTGATATACTTGAAGTGTTTGAGAAACCTGAATATCAAACTATGCATAGCTACAATTTCTTTGTAACAAGTCAGATACTCTGATTTTGAAATACTGAAGGCCAAAATTGGCCTTTACTTTCTTTTCAGCAGCACCCTAATGGTAGTTTTCTATAACCAAGAGTCAATAATCTTGATATTCACTCATTCTGCCTGAAATGACTTACGCTAAAAAAAAAAAAAAATTAAAAAAGAAGGTATTAAGGATGTCAATGCAAACAGGCTCTTCTCCAAAAATGCAGATCCTCAAAACCAACATGAGCTCAACTCTATAGTACAGATCTCTTCTTCCAAGAACAAGGTATATTAGAAGTTGGTGAAGTGAGTGTGACAACTTTTGTTCTTAAAAGTCAGTCTAAAATGCTGTAAAGGGGAAGTTGTAGTCTTATTGACAACTTCAATTAAAAGCCGTAGCAATTTCCAGTGACAGCAGCTTAATCCTATGTAAAATAAATCTTATCCATTTAAATTCTTCTCCCTGCAGAAGTTCCAACTTACTTTCTGTTCTATGTTAGCTCATTTATATACCAATTTCCAAACCACAGTAATAAAACACCTCTAAACAGAACTGACAGTGGGATAAACACACAGTATCTAATCAAACGCAGCAGTGTTCCACATGAACAGCCTGTGCTAACAGAGATTAAACTGAGAAAACTGGAATATTCTTTCAGACATGCCTGAAACACTTTATCAAGACACTGAAATTCAGGGCTAACTCAGACAACTTCACGTGAAATATCCTTCTTCAAGTTATCATACTCAAGGACAAGGGCACTTCCTCTGAAGACACTGATACATATATATATGTATATACATACCTATATGTACTACATATGATAAAGGTAGCTTATAAAGCAACGTTCACATGTACAGCAGGCAAATAAATAGACTCTGTCAGGCTGCATTACTCTACCAATATTTCTAAGCACATTTGTTAACATGAGGTTACAATCTGAGCATTGCCAGGCTGCAGAACAGAGAATCAGGGAGCAATACAACTGCTGCTGTTAAAGGGGCATAGTTCTTCCCCCTCAACCTTGATCCAATCCCTTAAAATCCAAATTTGAAAACAGAAGCTGCTAGGTTGAAAAATAAAACAATATAAAACTGTTGTAACTTGGGTCATAAAATGATCTAAAATATCCACAAAGTCACATACAAAATCAGGAACTTGACTAAATGTCAAAAAAACAAAATATTTAAAGTAGGAGAAATAATGTAGATACTTTTCTTGATCCCAAGTACTCTTCCACAGATCTAGAGTTAACAAAAACCTATTATTGTTGTCATACTACAAACTAAGTTTCACTGTCACAGATGCCACATGTTAATCTTTGACAGAACAGTATGCTGTAGGTAATACAAGTAAAACAGCAGCTTCTGGCAGCAAAGAACAAAATAGAACACACAAATGCAATAATCTGGCAGTATAGACATTCCACTTGTATTTGTAAGCCATTGTGGGGGGTTGCACATGGTCTTGCTTCAGTATTTTTTCTGAGGATGATGTGGGTACAGAGGCAAATGAATTGCTTGGTTTTCTGTGAAGCTTCATTATTCTGTAAACCATTATTACTCTTTACTTCACAATATGCTATTGAGACATACAGCATGTTTAAACTCTCTAAATTATCACCTATTTGTATAGCTCATAAACTACTTTTACGCATTAATCCTACTTTTTCTACCCCTTGTTAAGAAAAAGGAAGAAAAAAAAAGAGCACTGCTTCAGCTGATGCAATTCAAACAAACAGCAAAGCCTACATCATTCCAGCTTCCCCAGCAGCAATGCTGATTATTACAAAACTTCTGGGGTTCATCTGGTCAAACTGCTCTTCTCAAGCAGGATCACTCAGACCACATTGTCCAGGACAGTGTCCCAGAGGCTTCTGAGTATCTCCCAGGATGGAGACTCCACAGTTTCCTTGGGCAATCTGTGCCAGCACTTGGTACCCCTCACAGTGGAGAAGTGTCTCCTGATGTTCAGAGGGAACCTCCTGGGCTTCAGTTTGTGCCATTGCCTCTGGTCCTGGCACTGGGCACCACTGAAAAGAGCCTGGCTCCCTCATCTTTGCACCCTCCCTTCAGGTATTTGTATACACGGGTGAGTTCCCCCACTGAGCCTTCTCTAGCCTGAACAGTCCAAGCTCAGCCTTTTCTCATCAGCCCCTTAATCTTCCTGACTCTTTATGGGACTCTGGTATGTCCATGTCTTTCTTTTATGGGGGAGACCAGACCTGGACACAGGACTCCAGGTGAGGCCTCGCCAGCGCTGAATAAAGGAGCAGGATCACTTCCCTCTATCTGCTGGCACCATTCCTCCTAATGTAGCCCAGGATACCATTTGCTTTCTTTCCAACAAGGCCACATGGCTGGTTCATGTTCAATTTGGTGCCCACCAGAAGCCTAAGGTGCTTTTCAGCCAAGCTAGGGCTGTTCCTCCCCAGAGGCCGGGCTTTGCACTTCCCTTTGAACTACTAGTTATTGGACACGTATAGCCCAAGTTAAACAAACCTCGACTAAAAGGCTTTATGATTTAGATCTGCAATGATTAGAATAACTTCCAATTGAGAAAAGAGATCTTGAGCCTTGCCATCCCCCTGCAGTTCCAGAACACCTCATGCGGGGGGACAACACCAACCCCAAAAGTAAATTTCTCTCCCTTTAACAGCTTAACATTTTCCACAAGACAATTCAGAACAGGCGAGTCAGTTGTGGAGGTTTGACAGGTTATTAATTTGAAAGGGAGGCTGAAACAGAAAATAGCTGGCTTTCAAGGAATGGGGTGGGAGGAAGACAGGTTCTTCAGCTGCAGGAACACTGATAGCAACCGTGCCTGCTGTTTCCTTTTCTTCACAGAAAAATTATTATTAAGGATACACAAACCAACTGCTTTGTGGTTCCAGCAGACCAGCTAAGACCAGTTCATGGGAAGGACTGGTAAAATACAGTTGTGCAATGGAAACTTGGTATTTCCCTCCTGGCACATTAGTTCTCTTTATATGCATGATTAATATGAAAATGTCAGCCTACCTTCTTCTATCATGAGTCATGAAATGAGATGCTAATTTCGAAGACCCAACCAAATCACGGTTCAATAATGTATTTATTACGGAAAGAAGGTGGTGAAGAATGAAGAGTGTTCATGAATAAGCATGCTGCAAAGACGTCCCTCCTCCCAGCCCAAACGTCTTTCATTTGGAGCCTTCAGTGTGCTAAATGCCTTTCTAATATCCAATACTGACCATTTGCTCTTAAGGACATCTTAGAGACAAATTAGAATGAGAAAACAAGTATGCCATTTACTGCCCTGAGAACTGAAAGAGAATGAAAGCAAAGTTGGGATGGCAGGCTTGTTAAGAAGGATGCTGCAGCATTTGGAAGTGCTTTTGATGCAAGGAATCAGAACACAACCTGTAAGGCCTTTGTGCCTAGTCGACAACAGCCATCCTATGACATTCTTCTTCTCGTTCCTTTCTAAGTTAGAGATATTATCCAAAATATTTTCCAATTTTTTGGGGGTTTTCTTTTTGTTTGTTTGATCAAAATTGTTATATTCTTGTTTCTAAGCATCTTAAGTGAGATGCTGGTAAAATAAAATATTCCTTTCTCTGAAAAAAAAAAGTAATTCTGTTTACTAATATCAATTATTTTGCTAATGTTATGCATATACAGCAATAAAATAGTGCATGTTGCCTTCATGCAACAGATTTCATCTGTATTTCAAGACACTAATTTTAATCTCTCTTCCCACTCCCAATCTTTCAAGCATGTCACTCTTCACGAAAATCTAAAAAAAAGTTTTATCACATTTGACAGGGATATTAAATATTTATTTTTCTCATGCTGATACAAAAATACAAAGTGAAAACAAGTGATAATCACAGAATCATAATCATATCACTAAATCATATACTGATAGATTTGCTCTCTGAATTTTTGCATCTTGCATATAGTAAGGACAGTCAACAAAAGGCAGAATGACAGCTTAATCAGGATTTGGTTTAATTTTTTATTAATGGAAAACCTAAATCCTAACAATATGCTTCAACTTTATTTTAATGCAAAGTTAAAGACTCACACCCTCTGATGGGATCCTGGCTGAAACAAGGCTATCCAGTCTAAGAACTCTACCTCCATTTCTTCCCTGCTACAGCACAAAAGGCAAATAGGAAATTACCCACAATAAAAATCACTGGTTTTTGCTATAATAAATAGAGAGAGCATAACTGAGG